GCCAATCGGTTGTTCCATGACTGGTTCTAACTCTTGCTTCTTGGCCCACATACAGATTTCAAGTTTAATAGGTACTCTTTACAAATTGTAGAATTGCTGAAATCATTATACTGATGCTTATGTGCTTTATCATGAGTTGCAACCTCGTGTGTGCATGTGTGCATGTGCGCGCACATGCATGTGTATGCAAATCATTCTTGACTCCTTTGTTCCAAAGGCAGTTTTGTTCCTAAGGCAGTCTCAGTCTCCTGGTTTCTAGACTGGTATCTTAAACCACTACACCAGTCTCTATTCTAAAGATATGTGGCAGTGACCTGACCTGGATTCTGTAGTGGCCCCTGATAGATGCTTATATACTTGGTGTGTATATTTTCCTGTGATTCCTCATTTGGTTTTTCTGATTGATTGATTGATTGATTGATTGATTGATGATGGTGCTTCTACTAAACAGATATTTGATGTATCTGTAAAAATACTCTAAATAAAGTTACTGTAAATTTATGCAGTTTCCAAATACTATAGTTTGAAAACTATGTGCCAATAAATATCAGTGATCTGCTTTCAAAATTTGGAAAAGTAAATGCCTCCATTTACCTAGCTATAGCTGGAGAACCAAGAAGCAGGGCTTTAAGGCAGGTACTTCTTGCTTCCCAACATGAAGTATTCGGGGATACTAGAATATTTTGGATCAGGAAGATTCTGAATAGCCATTATTGCTGCTTCTATTTTTTTTTTTTTAAACCCAAATGGCCATTGCTACATTTTATGGTAATGAATTCTATAGACAGTGGGGCTGTCTGTATATTGCCCTGAATCTATTGTTAATCTCTTTTCATTGGGTAACCCTGGGAATTAAGATTCTTTATCTGTATTTTTTGCACTAGCATAATAATATAAAATTTTCATGTTCTCACTCTTTTCCCTCGAAATTAAAAAACAAAACCAGAAGATGCTCCTAATGTCATTTTGATTGTCCTTTTCTGTACTTCATTACATAGTTTTTCATGAGCTGGGTTTACATATTTTCATTGAACTATTACACCATAACTCCAGGATGTATTTTCTGGATAGCCACTGTTAGTTCAAATTCCATCAAATGACTTGAGTTTCATATGCACCTCCTCAGTCTCCTTCAGTTTTCATCATCGTGAATACATTGATATCATTTGCAAATTTCTCTGGTGGCTCCTCCCTAACTTTCAGATTTTTGATGAAAAGAATAACAGTAATCATAGTACATATTAGGGGTGTGCATGAAATGAGAAAAATGTTTTAAACCTGGAACAAAACATGTTCTCAAAGTTCTGCCAAACTGTTTTGTCATTCCAGGTTTTAAGCAAAATCCTGTTGGGCACGTAGGGCGTCACCTCCTCTCACTTATCATTGGCCCCTAACCCAGCATAACCAAATGGTTTGCTTACCCCACCAGCTTTCCCAGTGACTTTCCTTGCTCTCAACTTCTCCCCTCAGCCACCATTTATCTTGGCTCCCCACTCTACCCAGTACTATGCATAGACCAATTCCCCCCACCCCCATTTGTTCTGTGCTCAGACCAAAACAACCAAAGCATATGTTTTGATTTGGGCACAGACTACCACAGATCACTACTGTATGCCTATATTTGGGATGCTGTTTTAAATTGCTTGATAGTTAATATGTTTCATTAAAAAACACTGAAAATATTGATTCCAGAATATTACACTATTCTGCTGAAACTCTTTGTAGCTAATACAAATCAAATTTAGCCACCAGTGACTTAGGCCTTTGTGATTATTGTACCTTCTCTTTTCTTACAGTTTTAGAGAGTTGGTTGGATTATACTGGAGAGCTGGAACCACCAGAACCATTAGCAAGACTTCCTCAACTGAAGCATTGTATAAAACAACTCCTCACAGACTTGGGCAAAGTACAACAAATAGCACTTTGCTGTTCAACATGATATGAAATTTCTGCTGGATGACTGGAGCCTGTCATATGATGAGCACTCTCTATTTTAATGGAATAGCATGCTTGTTGCATGTGATGCAGAACTGACTTCAGGGAATTATTTAGAGGCAAGGGTTACTCTTCACAAAAGTAAAGAGGTTGCCTTTATCTTTTGTTCAGTTGGCCTTTGCTAGGCATTTTTAACATTATGGAAAGGGATTTATTCTCATCTTCAAAAGCTAGGAGCAGGTCGGCAATGGACTTTTCATTCCTTGTATCAAGTTGAAATAAACATTAATGTTCTTTGCATATATACACTGACAGAATTGTGCCACTGGAGAACAAAGTTCTAAGAGCCAAAAAATAATTAGCGATCCAAGACTGTAGATTATATTCTGCCTAGTTTATTTAAGTGACCTAATGTGTCAGTAAGACTCATACTTTATTCTAATAGTTTATGCATAACTACAGTATTTAATCAATAGAAGATATTATTTTCAAGCCTAGCAAGTATGAATGTCTAATTTTATAGTAAACTGTTACAAGAGGTTTGCATATAGGACCTGAAACTAATCTACTATTTTAAATAGATGTAGTAGAAGGTCCCAATTTGGTTGCACTTCTTTTCCTAGTAAATTATCATTTTCCATATTTATCATGTCATTGTAGCATGACTCTCATGGTACTGGGAAACCCATTTATGTTGAACTTCTGTGCATTCTTTAATTTCTAAATCTGGCCATGCTGTGCCTCCCATGACCTAGTGCTGATGACATACCCTCAAGGAAGGGTATAAAACTGTCTATACAAGGAAGGGCATACTACAGATTCAGATCTAGCCATGGCCTATGATGGTCACGGTGTTGTTTTCTTCCCTACTGTTAATAATTGCCATTCCGGTTATAGTTTGAAACATAATCTTTTTCAATATTATAAATGTTCTCATTGTAGATACTTGTAAAGTGTGGTTTTTGGGAATCAGTTAATTTTATATTTGTGTATAACAGAGTCTCAAGGTCTATGCATGAGGTACTGTCCCCCAAGGCAATGGGACATTATGTTAAACAATGTTTTTGAAATCCCTTTTTGTACTTTTTAGTTTCCTTATTAGCATTATTTGTGAGATCAAAGTGAAAAAATGCTGCTTATGTTGAAGCTACATTATACAGTAGCTTTTGGAACATCGGTGTATTGTAACTATTTTATATGTTTAAGAATATCATTTGCCTGCAGATCATATTTACATCACTACTTTCTTTTTGTTAGATAACATCTGGGACAAGAAATTAATTGGAGGTGGACAGGATAGAATATTTTTGCATTGGGTGTTCTGAATGTTGGAATTTTCCTACCTTGATATTGAAGTTGTTTTTGACACCACCAAAGTTTAAAATTAAAGCACATTTGTGAGTTGAAGCCCTGTTTAGTGTACAAACTGGTAATTATGAATAAAAATCTGTAATGTTTATATGCTGCAGAATTATGTACATTTCAGTTAACTAGTGATTGTCATAGAAGTAACATTTTTCTGACCAGCTTATCTCATTCAAAAATAATTAGTATACTTTTTTGAGTTCTGACAAAGGCTTTGTGCCAAGACTAATTTCAGGGAATAATTTGTCTCCAATTTATTGGCTCTTATAGGTTATAACAGCTGTACAGCAGATAAAAATTATTTTGCTGTAATAAATTGGAATAAAGTTTGTGATCAGTAAATGACACCTGATTGTTTCACAATAATATACTATGGGGCATTTTCTAAATAACAAGGTGTCCCTGAAAAAATTATATTTCCATCCTTAGCTGTAAACAAGTAACAACATTTTGTAAGGCTTGAGTAACTTATATTTCTAACTATATCCTTTTTACATTTATAAAGATAATCCTAAAACCATAGGGCAGAGCTTAGAAATATGTAGCTTTCAAAGTGTTACAAATTGCAACTGACAGAAATTCTAATTAGCATGGCCAGTGCTTAGGGATACTGAAGAGTTATCATTTAACAACATCTGGAGGATTAGAGGATTCCTGAAGTTGCTGTATAGGAAAGCTGGGAGCTCAGTGCTAAGAGTAACTGCTGTGTTCTTCTGGGCTGTGTTCTTCTGGGTTGTTCAGACTATAATGTCATTTCAATATAAGAGAATATTATGTAGCTCAGGGTTGAATTGTGGAGTCCTTGGTGCTCTCTGAGCTTGGTTGTTTGCAGATGTTTCATTATCCGACTAGGTAACATCAGTAACGTTGATTACTATCGGGTAATGAAATGTCTGCAAGCAAACAACCAAGCTCAGAGAGCACCGAGGATTCTACTATAATGTGGATTGGTGTTAATTTGTTATAAAAACATTGTATTGTGGCTTCATTAACCAAACTATGATTTAAAGCAGTTTATGAATACAGTCAGAATCTGCCATAGGTTTGGGGGTGCCTTTTGTATTTCATTTGTGGCTACTGTATTCCATTCTACTTTTTGCAGCTCCATCCCCGCCATTCTTGCTCCCAGACCAGGAAAAGTATCTTTCCTTGCTTCTTGAACTGTTGACATTAATGCTCCATTGCAACTGGGTGAAACAATTATTTGATTTATTGTGAATACCTTAGCTTTTGCATTACTACTCAGCTATCAGTTACCAAGTGTAAAACATACATTTACTACACACACACACACACACACACACACACACGATACTTGAATGAG